GAATTTTTGCTTTAAATAAGATTAATCTCAGAAATTAAGCATGGGATTGCCTCTTATAAAAAAGGCCATGGGTTATTCCTTAAATCTGAATTACTGGTTTAACAAATACTTGTATAAGTATCATTAATATTATCTGTTTTGCAATAACTAATGCAGTGTATAATACTTAATATCTCAGTCAGGTCTCTTCAAAATTCAATTATTATAGCTCTTGTCATAGAGACTAGCACTGTTCTTTTAAAGCTCCTTTTTTTCCCTAGTGACCCTTCAGCTTTACTACTCCGTCCTTGGCTGCCATTTTTCAGTTCAGGAATAGTATGACTGTCAAGTCAAGTGTAGATTTATATTGGAATCCTAACACCCATCATGATCCTCACCTTTCCACTGAAGTCACTAGGAAGCTGGGAATCCTGTTATGCTTCTAATCTGGGCCAGCATTTAAAAAAATGCTGATCTCTTTGCAAGTTTGTGGACCTTCTCTTTGCTGCAGCTGACAAGAAACTGAGTCTCCTTTCATTAACACTGGAAAACTCTGAACAACCTCAAGGTAGAGATAGCAGTGTTTGCACCATTGTTCTCTACAATTGCAAAGCCTTTGTTAATTCTGTGTGGGACCTGTTTGTATTCTTCATGGAAAGGAAAAAAAAAGCTTATCTCTTGCAAATGGGTTCCTCCCCTATTTGCATCACCCAATGAGCAGCACATGGCTGTCAAAACAAAAGTTTTACAGGACCCTCTCAAGCTATAATTTAATTTATAATATTGATACACTTAGGAATGATGGTGGACACTGAGCCCAGAAGTCATGGAAGAGTTCATATTTTTGTCACTCTTCAATGACAAAAATATGTCATTGACAACTAGAAGAATAGATATTTGAGAAAAGCTGATTATGAATTGTCCCAGGACCCTGTAACTTCCAAGCCTCAGTTAAAGGCAGCATTCATAGCATTCATAGGCTAAAACTGTGCCAGAGACTCTCCTGACAGTAGGACTGCCTGGACATGTCCTAGACATAGTTAATGTACAAGTGTGTCAAGACAGCTCAGTACTGCTCAGGGTTCTGAGCTGAGAATACACGGGAAGCAATCAGGACACCCTGTGATTAAACCATGACTGGTTCTCTTCTTACATCTGTCTTCCACACTTTGCCTCCTTCATATCAAGAATCACAGCAGACTTTAAAAAGAACCACCCTTACAACAGACAGCTTCAAGTCTTAAGTTGTTACCTGCAATTCTAATTTTGAGACAAAAATCAAATTTTGATTCAGCATTAATGCTCTCTCCAACAACTGAAGGCAATGGACCTGCTCAACATAATCTTTGAACTGCAGTGACATCAGTGATTTCCATACCACAGGAATTATCACACAGAAGCAGGTTAACAGCTGTGCTCAGATGTGTAGAGGTGTGTGCAAGAATAGACATAGCAAAAATAAAAATGTCTAAAAAAATGAAAAAAAATTGTGAGGTGTATGGGAGAAAGTATAGAGACTGTGGACTTTAGACACTGTAAGGTTAAAAAAATGAAGTCTGTGAAGTGTGTAAAAAAGAAGAGATATTATGAAAGTCTACAAAATAATGAGCGAACCTGAGGATCTTACACAGATCTCTATTTATTTCCCACTTACTCATCTCTTTTGGTCTCCATTCTGCTCCTCCTCTTTCCAGATCTTCCAAAATGTATTTTGCTCTTTTCCCCAATTTCTTTTTCCCTGTTATTTATGAACCCCTTCACATAACTCTCCAACCTTCTTCTTTCCTATATACTTCTTCTCATGATAGACATAGTAATACAAAATCTAAGTATTTTCTTAATATTAATAAATGTAAGTATTACTTTAAAAATAAAAATATTATAGTGCGTAGAACTAAAAAGTAACATATTTTAAGTGACTGCCATGAAACAATCTGCAGAGACAGACAGCCCTGCTGCTACAAACTGCTTCAACAAAAATCTAGGAAGACTTAAACATAACAACCTCAATTACTATATTGTGGTAATTTAACATAAAATTAAATTTTAACTCTCAAGCATCATATCATAAGCTAATTTGAAGTGGAATCAAGAAATTTTAAGAATTCTATACTTCCTCTGAAGCAAAAAAACATAGACATGGAATGTGTTTGACTGTCTTTATGCTAAAATGCAGATGTCTACATCCAAGCTAATAATGTAGATTTTTTTTTCAGTCAATAGGGAGAAAAATATCACTTGGAGGGTGCAATCCATCTTTCTTCAAAGTAAATGCCTAAGATAAGCCAGATAAATTGGATCTTAAATGGATCCACTGGCTACAAAGATTTCTAAGGCAGCTAATCCAGATGTAGACACCTGTTTTGGAGAAAGGCGAGAACCCAGTGAAGGTATTCTGAAACAGATTATTAAGATTAATGGACATCTGATCTATTCTAGTTTAAGTATTCTTGTGTTTCTGTGTGCTGTTACTACATCATTTACACAGCTGTTGTGGCCTGGAGCAAAGCACTATAATGGTACTAGAGAGTCTGTGGAGGCAGATGGGATATATACATGGATGTGAAGTGGTTCTTTTTGGACATAGAGTGCATTTTCAGGCTTTTAAATTATATATTTTTTTGGTGGGAGAAGTAAAAATTGCTGTTCTGTTCTCCCTTTCATAGTGTCTACAAATCTGTTAAAAATCCTTCCAATTATGTCTCAATCCACCAAAAAAAACATACCAGCTTAAGAAAGGGTTTGCATTACTGTATTAAGTGTGGGAGTTGCTGCAATCAAGAGACTACATCTGAAAAAGAAACTGGAAAGATGCCAGTATAGCAGACACTGGGTAAATGAGACTCCCTACATGGGAGATATAAGGCAGGCAGCACAGGACATTAAAGATATTTGTGACTTTCAATACTTTTAAAAAGCCATGACTTCCCTCCTAGCAATGTCTGGACTGGACCTGTTCTGTCTTTAAATACAAAATTTGCCTGAAGGTTTCAAAAGAGAAAGTATTAATATTAGGTTCCAGCAGCCTAAAACAATTATTTTCAAAATAAATATAGCTATTTATAGACAGTGTTTGCTGTTATGTTTGTGAGAAGTTCTTCCTCAAGCTTCCTTAGTGCCCCAGGGTACTGCAACAATATTATTCTTCCTAGCCACTCATTGACAGCAGTAGAGTGGGGATTTTAAAGTGGTTAACAGGCAGACTCTTATGCAGAGCTTTCCCCACTATATGCAGTAACACATTACTCTTATGTTTACACTCATTACTCAGGTACCTGAAATCACCTTCCAGTCTCTGTCTGCAGCATACCTTTGCTAGGTATATTGGAGAGCATGCTCTCAGTGTTTTGGTATCTCTTAGCTGTTGAGGGATTTTTCTGCAGGTTGCCTTTAAATATCATTTTGCACTAGTTAAACAGATAATGCTCACAAATCTTTCATAGTAATTTAGGTCTTCTTTATACTTTAATGATTTACCAGTTTCTGGCTAGTTCTCACCTTCCTACCAGCTTCCTACTGGATCTGTTGTGGTATGAATTGACACAGCATCCAGTAATGGTCAGATCAGCCCCAAATACACAGCTAAATCAATATTCCTAGTCTAACTGAATTAATTTATTTATTTATATGCATTTTTATATGGAAATTTGTTTTATTCTTTTGCTGCAATGTTGCTCGTTTCCAATTGATCAAGGTTTCTGACTCGTCTTTGACAAAGTTACAGGTTTCTAGCATAAAGAACCCCAAGAAGAAATGGCCTCAAGTTGCTCTGGGGGAGATCTAGATTGTGTATCAGGACAAATTTCTTTGCAGAAAGTGCTGTCAAGCACTGGAACAGACTGCCCATGGAAGTGTTAAAGTCACCATTCCTGGAGGTATCTAGAAAAGGTGTTAGGTGTGGCACTTAGGCACAGGGTTTAGTGGTGGACTTGGCAGTGTTATGTTAACAGTGGACTTGATGTTCTTCAAGGTCTCTTCCAACCTAATCTGTTATATTCTATTCCATTTGATTGTTTCTTGTTAGTTTCTTTTAACTGATTGCTTGAAGAAAAAAAAGATAATAAAATTTCCACCAAAATTAATATTGGAAAAAAACAGCTCCTAGAGAAGACAAATTTTCCTGCAAAGGGTGGTCCTCCTCAGTATTTAAGAAGAACTTTCACTAACATAGTGGAACACTCCTGAGGAAAGGGCAGTAGGGTATAAACCCTTGCCCAGTGACAGATGGATGACATTCCTCATAACATATTGCTTTTCATCTTATCAGTCATTTGTTCAAGAACAGAAGCCACTTTTTGAGTTACAAATGGCATCCTACTTTCATCTGGATTTTTTTCAAAACCTTCAATCAGGATGTTTGCTAAAGCCAAAGCTTCTTACTTTACAGAGCTTACAAATATGCAGGGGAAACATGGTGGCATTTTTATTGCCTTGGGTATTTCTATAGGTTAACCTGGCTTCCTGAACACACGTAACTTCCCTTGATCAACACAGAAGTTAATCTGACTCAAGATTTTGTGTCACAAAGAGAGGTCTCAGTCTTCAAACTCTTTCTTGGGCCTTTGCGATTGTTTTTAAAGTACCAAACTAACCCTTTCCTGCTACTTCCCAAACCTTGATCTCAAATACAGCGTTCTGAATGGCATTCTATAGTAAATCATCACTCAAAATGGATTCAACATCAGTGCTCGCTCTGGGCAATGAAAAACTGCTTTAAGATATTTTTATCACCTGACTGCCATGCAAACATGCTACATCTGTGAACACAAGAACTTCTGGGCAAAGAAAATTTCATACTCGCCAAAACGTACAAGTCTCCATCCTTACGTGCTGTTAACCCCAAGATCTCACTTTACGTGTTATTGACCCTCAGAGATTTGTAATTCCTCCATTTGTCTGAACAAATTCCTTTCTCCTTCCAACAGACTTTGCTGAGAAACCTCCAGTAGAAAATTTACTCAGTAGTAAGTCTTGCTACAAGGTGATGACAGCGGATCCTTAACAGAGAGCTGGCATCCTACAAAGGTGAAAAGAAATCATGTCTAGAAGTCAACCTATCTACAGGTATATTGGACACAATTTCTTGTCCAAATCCTGAAACCTGCCATGAAAAATACCTCTGGTCTCCTGATCTTCTTTGAGTTCTTTTGGAGGTGTTGTTTCCTATCTGCCCTGATTTAGATATACTTTCAGGTTTTTTCATTTTTTTTTCTTTGAGCCTCGCTTTTCAGTAATACATGACTTTCCACATCTCTTTTATCTTTTACTACTTTATCTTTTTCTCTCCTCTTATTTGTTTTCTCAACATTTTTCTCAGCCCTTCCAGTTTCCCTATCTCCTATTTCTTTCACCATTTCTCTCTCCTATTTCCCTTTGCTTTAAATTTCCTCAGCCTCCTTTTCTCCATCTTTCCCCACTTCTATTCGCATCATGATTTCCAACCTGCAAAGAAATGCTATCCTCACAGGCTCTGCAGCACTCTTTGATCACCCTATAGCCTCTGTGAGCAAGCTCCTCCAGCAGTTCCAGTGCTCCAGGTAACCCAGAGAGTCCAAGGAGGTTGAGAGGCACTTGCGCTGCAGCAGGAACCAGAGGGGGGCTAGCGTTGCCCTGAAAGGTGAAGCAGAGAGGGTCAGTTTGCCAAAGCAGAGAGATTGGCAAGAAAATATGGTGCCAGCCACATGCTGCCTCATTCCTGTTCCCCCAATTAAAGCAGCCTGTAGGGAAACTAGCATGCCACTGTAGTGCACTGGTGTACTGACCCCTCCGAGTGCTTGTTAGTGCTCACCACACTCAGCATTTCCTCTCCCTGATTGATAGGACGGTATGTGTGTGTATGGCAGAGAGCAGATTCATTACAGCACATTAGCCAGACAGGCAGACAAATGCCCACAGGGGCAGAAAAGCTGTAAGGAATAAATAAAAACTTTATTATTTTTCTAAAACTTCTTTTCCCCAGGCTACAGTGAAGAATACTGGAGGAACAGGAGAGTGGAGAGAGTCCAGAAGAGAAAGGAAATGGTGAGAACTGGAAGGAAAGTTTATTAGCAGTCAAAGAAAAGTTTAAAATACTCATTGTTGTATTCAGAGTTTGAATCTCTATTTATATTTTTATTTTCAGTCCCACTGCAAACTAGGAAAGAAAGATTCAGTGCATCAGATACCAAGTTATCAGAACATTCCTGATGTAACATGTCTGAAATGTCTGAAACCTGGCTGCTCCATTTATTGAAATTTATAATTCCTCAGTTTTAAAAATGAAAAACAAACCAGTACCAGCCTTTATCAACAGCTGCCACCATGTGGTATTTAAAATAACATAATTACTTGCAAATAGAAAGAAATATGGTGGCATCACCTAATCTGTCCAGTGATGGGTTTTTAGCCTCCACTTGGTAACTCAGCTCACAAGAGGTGATGTGGCTGTGGGGCAGCTCTGCACCCCTGCATACACTCTGCTAGGGCCAAGAAGTAGATAGCCTGTGCAAAATTGTCCTGGACACTGCAGCCACTGTACCAAACCATTTGCCCATCACCCAGCCCAAAGTCCACAACTGCCCCAGGCCATCAACAACCGTGCATGTAAAAAGTGCATTCCCAAATGGCTGCTGCCAAAACTTTTTCTGCTAGGCACATATTTACCAGGGTGCAACATCCTTTTTGCTTGTGTCATGAGATGATGCCTGCTCTGACAAGGGGCAAGAAAGCAAAAATGGAGCTGCTGGATTCTGTTTTCACTGCCCACTGGCTGGATCTTAGCCTATCTGCTGTCTGGAAATACACTGTGGTGTTGAAAGACAACTTCAGAAACATTCCACTATCCAACAGGAAGATAAAGTGCAAATTGTCAGCCCTGGACAATTAGAGAGTTGATTCAAAGATTAACGATTTAAAGAACAAAATTTGAGACAGCACAGGGACAAGATTTAGTTAGTTTTATACCTTAGTATTTGCTTGCTTGAGTCCTATTTATTTTTTAGAACATTGTAATTCCAGCAGCTTCATTCTCACCTCTCTCCTGATTTCATTTAGGTGCACTCCAAAATGAGCTAAATGTGTTACAATTAAGATTAAGAATAGCTTTCAGCAGATAACACAGCATTCTGAAATCTGTTTTGTAAATATCTAATATAGGTACCTCTGAGATTGCTGGAGCTTTGTTTGATGAAAAGTGTGTTCCCACTGGAAAAAATCCATTGAATGCAGGATGCTGTGAAACTGGCATATGACACTGTGAATAATGTGCATGGGCTTCTTCTCGAGGGTGCCTGTCTGGCCACTTTTGATCCTGTAGCTTTCCTCTGAGCTGAAACTGTAGTCCAGTAAGTGCCTGCAGCATTGCTTTATTTTTTCCCTTCCCACTATTCGCAGAGCTGAAAAAATCACTATAAAACACACACACAAAATAGAAGCAGCAATTTAATTCCTTGAACAATATACATCTACTATTAAAAAAAAAATTAAAAAAAACCAAAACACCAAAACAAAACTTCAGTATAAATCCAAATTAATATTATGGTTATAGGGCACCCATAAGAACACAATCCTTAATATAGTACTGGAAAAAAAAAAAAAAAAAAAAAAAAAAAAAAAAAAAAAAAAAAAAAAAAAAAAGAAAAAAAAAAAAAAAGGGAAAAAAAAAGATGAGAAGAAACAGTTGGCATTCAGTTAACAATCATGTTTGGAGGTTTGTGACTGACTTTGTTATTCCAAGGGAAGCCAGGTACCAGGCTCTTGGGATTAGGTACAAAGGCAAGAAAAAAGTGGACACGTATGAATCTCAAAGGTGACTGCTGGGTTAATAAAACAGTCTGTTTTCTGTTCACCCACTCTTCCTCTCAGTGTGCAAGTACATTAAAATATGTCAAAAGGAAAGCCATTTGCTGGAGAAAAATAATTCAGCTAAAAGTCCAAATTTCCAGCTGGTGTGTTGCCTTAGTGTGTGCAAGTGCGCTAACAAAGTGACCCACACATCTCACTGGATGAAAGTTGGTATCCTCATTAAAGTAGAAACAAACACTTGAAAACAGGAACAACTGCCAGTTGAAAAAAGGACCACAATTGAAATGAGAAGCCTTCATTTTTCCCCATTCTGTTTCCCACTTGCTCTATAGCAGATACTATATATATATTTAAGTAACTGCTTTAAAAATAATGAAAGAAAAACTGATTTTGTATGCAGTAACCATTTGCTGGAGGAATTGCATTGCTAACAACCATCCACATTATCATCGTGTGTTTAGAAGAAGAAATATTTTCACAGTCCAGTTTCTAAACTGCCACATACAACACAACGGTTGGTTCCTGCAAAGAGTCACCCTTTCAAAAGTGAATAGCTCTGGGGAAGAAAACCTTATATCAGAATTGCTCACACTAGAAAGTGATTGTAGGATCAACCTCCAACCCTTTAAAATAAAAGCACGTTTATAGTGGCATATACTGCCTTTGCCCCAGGAAACACAATGAGACTTGAACACAATCACTAATTCACTGCACTGTGAACATTTTATGTAATGTGAACAGCACGAGACATTAGATCTTCCTTGGCCCAGGCCCTGGCAGAAAGCACTATTAGATAAACAGAAAGCAAAATGAGGGAAGTGGTATACCACAGTGTGAGCAGCCTTTTGTTTATTGGTGACATGATTTTCCCTGGGGGTGAAAAGAAAAAGAAAAAAAAGGAGTAAAGAAGTATTCTAAAATCTCTAATGACCTCAGCAGAGTTTATTATGATGAACCACAGAATCCCTTCATGGGTGAGGTTGGAAAAACCTCTGTGGATCATCTAATTCAACTGCCCCATTCAAAGCCAGATCAGCCAGTATGTTGCTCAGGGCTGTGTTGAATTTCAAATATCATCAAGGACAGAGATTACACAGCCTCTCCAAGCAAACTATTCCAGTGTCTGATCATGTATACACTAAAAAAGTAAATTTTCTTATGGAATTGAAATTTCACCCATTTCAGTTTGTGCCTATTGCCTCTTGGCTTATCATTGGGCACCTCCAAGACCCTTTTTTAGCTCCACATTTTTGCTCCCCATCCCATAGGTGTTTACACACACAAAGGTCATCCTGAGCCTTCTGTTCTCCAGGCTGAACAATGGTAGCTCTCTTACTCTCTCAAAACTCACAAGTTCCAAGCCCTTCACCATCTTTGTGGTCCCTTGCTGACTCCAGTACATCCATGTCCCTTTCCTACTAGGCAACTCAGAACTGGAGCCAGCCCTCCAGCTGTAGCCTCTCCAGTGCCAAGAGGAAAAATGCAGTTATACACTGTGGTTTCTTAATGCACGCAAGGAGAGGCTGTTGGACTTTCTTTCTGTTGAAAGGGTGTGCTGTGGGCTCATAGCCCACCAGAGTCCCCAGGACCTCCTCTGCAAAGGTGCTTCCCAGATAGCCACAGACAGAACAAGGACCTGGCTTTGTCTGTCACTGCACCTTCAGTTAAGGCTCTGATATTACATGCATCACAAAAACTACATCATTGCTTCTCACAGCAGCCTCTTCTAATAGATACAAGCAAGAGAAAAAGCTGAGGAACAGTCTAGCTAACACATCTGTGCTGATTCAAAAACAAAATGAAATAAAGTACTCTATTTTCTAACTGCTGATGTTGTTCCTTGGCCACAGAGATTTCTGCCATACACAAGCTTTGATCCATTGTTCCTGTATTATTTACCAGCTCTACAGGTACAGCTCTCTATACTCTACAGCATGGTCAGCTCCAGACTAAAGCTCAGCAAAAACTGAAGACTTCCCATGTTCCCAGAAAGTCACCCTGTTCTTGTGTCAGAGCATCAGGCTGCCTTAACCATGGGACCAGCTGGTGCTGCTTCCCAGCTGTTCTGCAGTATGAACCATTTCTCTTCCTTACCTCCCTGGCCCTCTCTCCTATTTTGGAGAGAGTACTTCAATGTGAATACCTGCAAAGTTCTGAAATATGAAAAATGAGAAAATGGCTTTACCTGCCCTTTCTGGCCACCACAGTCTTATCATGGCTGTTTGGTGACCACACTTGCATACTGAAAATGTAATCTTGCGGTCCTTTTGCAAACTAAACTCCCCATTGACTGATATGTCTTTGTATTAAAAAAATTACTGGATATGCAGAGCAGCAGTTCTGAACAAAGGAATTTAGTCATTTTTCTTTTAGTTTTCCTTTCCAAAAATGCCCTAAGGCAGTCATCTATTTCAGTCAATGGAAGGCTGAAAATGTTCAATCAAAAAAAATCTATTTTTGCACAATAGAAACATAAAAGACATCTAAAAGCTGCAAATATTATTTTTGTACACATTGAGGACCAGATGTCTTCACATTTCATTGACCTTTTTGTTAACTCTTTACTTGCCTACTTTTTGCCTGGAGCTACTTTTGACAGTGAAGAAATACGTGTTTATTAAGGAATACATACTTATGATCTTTTAGTTACATTACTGGGGAAAGAGGACACAGTTACATATACAAACATTCATTATAAAAGACATATAAAAATGTCAAACATTCTTCCATTTATAAAATATGTATTAATCTGAGCAATTTTACAATTTAAAAAATTTTAAAAAGTTAAAATAATATTTTGAAACTGAAATCCAACCTAACTTACATGGTTTACACAATATCTTACAAGTAGACACACAAATAGTAAAACCTATTAATTTCTACAGCAATTTCAAATACAAGTTGCTTTATTCAAAAGTGATTAAGTAGTACCAGGAAACTTTTTTAAAATCATGCAATATCTTTTTCTTTTATTTTTTATAGTTTTGGGCTTTTAGTCAGATCATCAAGTCAAAGAATTCCAATGGAAACAAAAAAAAATTTGAAAGCTCTGTTAAAATTAAAACTATGTATAAATTATTTCAAAGTAAAAGGTATCCTCAGAAATTTGCATGAAGGTTAGGTTCAAGTGCAAGGTAAATATGTACTGGTGTGGAAATATACAAATATAATCCATTATATCCTTAACTCCAATCTGTAGCAAAGGCAACCAATAAACATGTATTTATGATGGCAGCAGTTTAGCCCTTGCCACTCCAGTAAGAGATTGATGTTTAAAAATTCAATACACTTTATATAATGAAAAGTCTGGCTGCCTTTTTTTTTAATTTCCAGTTTGAGTAAAATATAAGATGCAGAAATTCTGAAAAAGAGAAGTTTTACACTCTACAAAGGGCATAGGGAAATAAATAGGATGAGTTCAAATACTAAGTGATGAAGATAATAAGGAAGTTTACTTTCTTGAGAATTGGAAAGCTAATTCACTAAAACAGAATTTCAGAAATGTGGAAAAGGCAATAAAAGACAGGAATGAGAACTAGTCAGACAGCTGCATTAAGTTAAAAGAGAGGACTCTAAGAAGATTTGGAAATACAAATCCGGATGCATCACATTCTGACTCAGACAAAAGCCCTGCCATAGAACACTAACACCTAAGAATAACACCTAGAATACTCTAATGAGCAATACATAACTTCTTGAGCAGCCTATACCAGAAAGATTAATGAAGTGGAAGGAAACTAAATGAAAGTAAACAGCAAGTATTAATAAGGGACTTAGGATCTGACCTATGAAGAAAGCTGAAAAGAATTACATGATAAATACTTCTAACATATATATTAACATATATAATTCTACCATATATGTATATGCTTTTAACATACATACTATATATGTAATGAAATATATAATATATATAATAAAATATATATAATATATATTATATATTTTAAAATATATATTAAAAGCATGCATCCTGAGAAAGAAACAACCATTACAAGAAGAAAATAAGTTATTCTTGTAATTATGGTGATATTAAGACTATTAAAGAGACTATCACAACAACTCTTCATAGAAAATATGGAAAACAGGGATATACTGTTCAGAAGGGGGGAAAAAAAAAGTGATATAATCCCCACCACTTGATTTGTTTAAATTGAGACTTGGCAAAACATTAGTGAAGTTATTGTACAGTAGGTCATGATCCTGTATTGGCAGGGGATGGACAAAATGACCTAGCAGGTCTTTTCCCTCTCAATCTTCTTTGATTCTAAAAGGCTCTAAGTCAGATGCTTCCATCATTTGTCTATAAGATCAGCAGAGCTAGAGCTACCACAGGGAGACCGGTGAGGGTGAATGTAGACTGGCTAATAAAATATCAGAAGCCCATAAAAGTCAAGAAATTCTTTCTCTTTTATTGTTATAAATATATAAGTATCTTATTTTCAGGGTTCAGTGTGAATGACTGCACAGAAAACTAAATTTTTAAGACATTAAAAAGCAAAATGCAGAGGGATCAGGCTGGAGTAGCAGCAAAGAAAATGTGCAGTCCCCTGCCATCAACTTTTTGAAAATGCAAGTCTCAAAGGTAAGGGAGTAGCAGGATTTCATGCACAAACATTTTTTCCCGAATTCCATTCTCATAGAAACAAGTTTTTGAATAAAAGCTCCTACCAATAGTTTCATTGATGCCTATCTATGCTATTTCCAGTTTTTCTTTACCATTTAAAAGTATTAGAAAATGTTTGAGAAATAACCTAGAACCAAAGAAAGCTATTTCATTTGAGGATATTCCAGAAAAATCTGGTGACCCTGGTGACAATTAGGGTTTCTTATAATTAAAGCAGGAGGTGGTGAAACACAATAGCAACCACTGGTTATTAATATCTCTTGTGGCCTGGGTCTGCTGTGAGCACAAACTCTGAGCACCATCCCTGGAGTTCCCGAGGGCTTCCTACCTCCACTCTAGGTCACAAGAGTGTTCAACTGCCTTGGGTGTCAGGCTTACAGCATGTCAATGGGACAGCTAAATATTACTGCTTACATCCCCATTAAGGCTGTGTGTCCCTTTGCAGGAGTGTCCAGCCTAGTGCACAAGTGTAAAAAGACAGAGAAAAGGCAGCATCAGTAAGTCTCCAGCCACTGACACTCAGAAATGGGGGTGTCTGTGCATGTGGCCACCATATTTTGCCTCCTCCTCAAGCTGAAGAGAAGCCCTGTGATTTGCTGTTAGCTTCATCTGAGGTCACTTACTGCATTCACATGAGGAAACAGAGAAGAGCATCTCTGGGGAGAGAACATGGAAAGAACCACACAGGATAAAGTAACAAAGTCTCTTGTAAGGTAACTCCTACTTTTTCTCTTTTCCAATGTATAACAACTAAATACTGTCACCTTTTTAGCATTATCTTAATGAGAATTAGCCTATACACACTTGTATTCTATGATATTATTGGTTTGAACTTTTGGCTGTGTTTTTTGAATGTGTGCATGCACACTCATGTAAGCACAAGCAGATTTTTCTACCTAAACTAAAATGCATCAGAGCCATGTCCAATCTAATTTTATTAGCTAATATATCCTTGTAGCTTAATTCTGAGTGTTTATGTAATAGAAGTCCCATGGCCTTTTGGAAGGGCATGTGCTCTTCAGTTAGCAAGGGGGTTGAAAATTACTCTTCAGTGCATCTTCCTGCCTCCAGCATCAAAGGCAGATTCAAGAATACAGGGCATAAAATCCCAATAATTTATTAAATTAATATTTTACACAATAACAGACACCAGAGACTATAATACAATTATTAGAGAACCTTGAATCATCAGCTCTAGATGCCCCCAGCTGCCACAGCACTTTCCAGTCTGGAAGGTGTTCCTTAAAGTATTTGCCCCAGGGTTCTTAATATTAATCCATTCACCAGACTACCAAAAAAAGGGTGTATTTTCTGTTTTTGGAATCAAAGACCATTAAATTTCTTATCCTGAAAAACAAACTAATTGTCAATATTTTATTTTCTAAAAAATATTATTTTCTCTACTTTTTTGTCAGTAGTATATCTGCATGTATGGTAATTTTGCAATAATTTGATTAATTACTCCCTGGCATCCTACAGATTAGCAACAATCCACAGTTCATGACTGCAATGCATTGCCTTACAGCACTCAAAGTGGAAATTAGAACTGCACGTGGCCAATTAGTATATTCAAATGTTGATTAATACTGTCAATTTTGTTAATGAAAACATTAGGGACTATGAATACTATGTATAGGCATCTCATTAAAAATAATACATTTACCATAAATTATCAGTGTGGATACTGATATAGAATGTGTAGTTTGATTTGAAAAGTTATTTTTCAGCTCGGGACAACTCTGTTTATATGCTGAGATCTAGGATTCTAGCTCACAGAGCCAAAACCAGATGTAATAATTACCAGCACAATGGCAACTCTTCCTTGTGAGGGCTTCTGGGAGCAGATGATCCCACTGTGCTGGGCAGCTTGGCCCTGGGGAAAGGGCTCCTAATGGATGGATGAGGGAAACAAATTTCATCAGCAATCTGAAGTCAAGATCAACAATGTAACTTTGCAATTTAGGTAGTGTTTTGTTCCATTTAGATGACCCATTAATCAATTCAACTAATTGTGTTCAAAAAAGATAAAATAATGAACATTTATATTACAGCCCATAAGGATATATGCTTGAAGAACTGTGTAAGTCTATAAAAGAAATTGATACTTTTGACCACCAACAATAAAGAAATAAACACAAATTTGTTTGATTGGTACACTTTATACTGTCAAGACACAAGAATCCTGTACACCCCAAACAGATGGAACACCACATTTGTGCCACCACATCGTGAAGCTCCTGTCTCAGTGAAGCAGCCGGATTAGTTTACATTAAATGTCTGGACTGTACATGGTCTAGAGATGCCAAGGAAGACTCCATGCAGCCCTCTCCATCTTCATTCCCAGAGCTCACCTCACAAGGTACACCACTTTGCGGACAGTCTGCAGGCATCCTGACCAAAACCAGGTGTATGGCAGCACAGTGACACAAGCACAGGGGCATCTCATTATAGGCAAAGGATATGACTGTGGTACACTCCTTTCCACGTCCACCCAGAAACTTCAGCAGCCACCTCAGGCTACTTCTTCACCCAAACTGGGCCTTCTGCAGTCCTTTGGTGTCCCTCCAGTAAAAGCCTTAGTACCTCCCAGGCAATGCAATGCAATGCAATGTTCTCTGTGACCTTTGATAGAATATTTGTCCTTCAGATGAGCAAAGAACAAATCCAATTTCCATGGACCCTCTAATGAAAATACATTCTATCCTGTATGGAATGCAAATTCAGATCAGATATGTTTGACAGTCTCTCCTTATGCAAAGTATATCTAAAACAGTGCTATGAACCCATTGAGTTCAATAATGTACAAAAATCATGCTATTTCATGAAATAATATTTTTTTAAATCATTGTTTGGGTTTAAGCTTCTTAACTATTCCGGTTTTTTTTCAGTATCAGAAGAGCCAGAAGGTTTTAATTTTGAAAGACAGAATGTATGAGACACTATTGTGTTCATAAAATTTGAGGGAGTGAGACATTAAGAAAAAAAGCACATAATAGTAACAAAAATATCTTCATGGTATGTACAGTCACACTACTTGTTATAGGCTGCATATTAGTAGAATACATCTGGTTGTGTTTTTCCTCCATATATTAATATTTTTTAACCTAAACATTGATGGAGGAAGTGAAGAGAAAGTAACACATTTGATAAATGGTAATATACAGCTGAAAAAAGCTGCCTATGACATGAATAGTTATGGCATGATGTCCCAAGGAGGCTTGCACTCTAACACATTAACTGTGACCTTCCTATAGGGAAAAAATACCAGGTCTTCATGATCTAGACCCTGGGCTAGCCTTGCAGCAGCCACCCACACAAATTGAGAGTAAGGCATAATGCTGTCACTCTTACATTTCCTCTGAGCAGTCTGTAACAATGTGTGCAGCCTGTTACCAGAAGCACAGTTGCTACATATTAAATCAGATGAAGAGCACAAAAATTTCTCCACAAACAGGCTGAACACACAATATTCACAGAGAGTGTGAATGTCTGCTGGCCAGTTTTAAGTTCCTGACATTTCTCAACTTTTAAATAGGAGACTTTCCTACTTTTGTGTTCTTCTCCATCTCCCTGTCCCTGTACCAAGGGGAGTCCTGGAAATGATGAAGCATCTCTTTGATCTTCCTTTTGTGACCTGCAGCAGGCAAAAGACCAGCTGTGCCAAAATTTTTTCTCAATCTCTGCAAATATATGGTGTAGCAATGCTGAAAATAATACAAGAGATTTGTAGCTATAGTCCCAAGCAATTATACGTAATCTACAACTATTGAATCTAATAATATGATATGATGATGATGTCTATTGTCATCATCATCTTCATCATCATTATTATGTTTTACATAATAATTTTCTGATGATGATTTGCTGATCTGCAGTAGCCTGCTGGGCAAAGGTAAAGTACCATTTTTACCTCATGGTACCACAAATGTTTTTCCAATGGAAATCTGGAAGAGGTTTCAGTGCTGGCCTGGTGTATTTTGTCCATAACCTTGCTTTCAGACATGCTTTCTATACAGAAAAATTTGCCTGAAGCTGTGTCCAGGAAAGAGAACACTTCAACTCAAACAGTCAATAGGTCAGAAACAATCATATGGTTACAACTTTAGACAGTCTAAACAACAGACACTTCTGGCAGGTTCACCAAAATTCAGAGATATTTTAAAAAGTTTTTTCATGCAGCCCAAGTATTACTTCCTGCAGGTTTCAGGATAATTTTCATCTTAATGCAGTAACTTCAGCCTTTGAGCATCACTCTTTCAGGGTGTCCTGTACTGAAAAATAGATTTGCTTGTTATGCCTTGCTGGCTTGCTCACATAGTAGGTGCTGGTATGGTGAGGAACATGGATGGATAGTCTCAGTGCTGAGTTATGTTATCAAGTAAATGCTGATATATATTTCCTACATTCAGAGCTCAATTCTCAGGATAATTGATCTCTCATAATTCTCTTTCAATCTATGATGTTGTAAAAATTATATACGCAATTGTGCAGCTTCCTCACTAGACAGTTATAATATCTGCAAAAACTGTCAAACTTTAACCTGGGCAAGATTATAAATCATCATTTTGTAACTACAGAAAGCTGCTTTAGAGGGAGAAAAACCTGATAGCTTTGCCTTCTTCCTGTTCCACAGGTTTTATTTTTGCCTTCTCAGTTCCAGAAGACTCATGGAATGTGAACAGAAATGCCTATCTCCATGGGCAATGAAAGGACTTGGGGATTGTAGACTCCACATATAATTCCTTATGACTCATATTCAAAACAAGGGTTTACATGCAAAGCACATATCCCAGTTATAAAACTAGAATATGTGTCTGCAAGTCTGAGAGAAAGAGAAAAGTGTCTGAAACCTTTTTTCTAACATAAGTAGGAAAAATATCTTGCAGTAGATTGGAAAGAAATATAAGCAAATGTCACTTGACTTTTCATACTGGGTACTT